GAAAGGGGAAAAAACCTATAGAAATACAACCACATTCGGTGTCCTAGTGCCCTTGGTTGCAGTATTTTTTGTAAGTGGAATTTTCTTTTCGGAGATATAACATTTGAAATATCAAAATAYTAATCTAGTGCTTTATACCCTTTTTCTCCTAGACCGCAATTTGTTATCCCCCTTTAATTTCAATGTCTTGTCCTCATTTTCTGGAAGGTTCTGCAAGAATATTTTTCTTTTGGTCTCATAAWACCTCACCACGGCCCCTATATTAATTCACAGTACTTTTTAAACATTCAGTGAAAAAAAAAATTATTAAGAACATTATTTAAATATTTATTGTATTAGGTCCACACAAAAATGATGAGGAGCCACCCTCTTTGCCCATCTTCACGGGCGGTACTAAGCAGGTAGCTAAGAGGCCCCGCATACCGTCAACATCGGTAGGTCTGATAATTTGTTCAATGTAAAATAGAGTATCATTTCAACTGTTTCTCCAGCGTCTACTCACTTTTGAAAATTTTGCATCTCAATGTTCACACTGTTTAGGCTATTGAATCAAACCAAGAAGCAAGTCAGGGTGCAGGAGCAAGACCAACTAGAAGAACAGAGCTCATACAGCAGATTAAACAGCTGCATAAGCTGAAAGAATTGGGGGCTCTTACTGAGGAAGAATTTTAAAAGAAATGATKTAGAACCAATTAAATATTTGTGTAGAAGTACAATTGAATTTGAATTWAAAAAGGCATACAGTATTTGTTTGTTATTGTTGGTTTGTACTCGTTGGGTTATCCTCAAAAAGGTAGATTGGTGCGAAAATAATAATACAGATTTGTGATTATTCAATAAATAGTAAAAGCGCTGCCACGCATTTTGTGATATGATCCGATTTGAACGCCCGTGAGATTGAGTCCGTTACGTCACTGATAATTTATTCCTAATGTGCAAATGTACTAAAGTACTAAAGTCCTTTTCTCAAACTGTCAATGTCAACCTTTTTGCAAGTCGGTGTATGTATTTTTATCAATTATTCATCAAAGGTGAATTGAATCTCTTTGTTTCAGTAGTCAATAGATCCCTGGTTGGCATATTAATACAAATACMATTACCTAACTCCAAAATAAAAACCGGAAGTTAGAGTTTGTCACATTTTGGAACTAGAATACATTGGCATGTAAAATATGCAAAGCGATCTTTGAACTTTCCTCTAAAATTTGTGCGCCTTTCTACTGTACTTTATTTTAACGATGGAAATTCCAATAAACAAAGGAAATAATGATAAAAATATTTGCCGATAATTCAGGTCGTATTGTCAGATAACTTATTGAAGTTTGCCACATTTTGGAACTACCGCAATATATCGCAATGTAAAAKATGAAAACGGATCTTTGAACTTTCCTCTAAGATTTGCACGCCTTTCCAAATACACCGCATTTTATTTTAACGATGAAAATTTCCATTTTATTTCCATGACTATCCATGTTTGCAATATAGCAAGGCCAGTGAGGTAAAGATGTTATATGTATTAAATTTTATGTACAATTAAGAGCAACCCAATATAATCCATGAAATCTTAATGGTACATTGCCACTAAGTTCATATCCATTGAAGAGCATGAATCATTAGTCCAGACTAGTATTTTTTTGACTTATGATATGCCACCACAAAAAGGAATAAGSCATCCAATTATACACATCACATCTTAATGATAATTGTTTTCCTTTTTTAGCTTAAGGCTGAGTTGTCCCGCATCTTATAGCCTGATATGCCTAAAGAGATGGGGATGAAGTGCGAAGAAAATAAACCAAAGTTACTTGAGGCATTGMAGAAATGTAAGGAAAGAGAAATAAAAAAGCATCTGATGATGCTTGAGGATTGTGATCCATCTGAAGAGAAAGGTACAATATTTCTACCTAAAACTGACTCTTCTCAAAAGTGTCGTGGATGAGAGGCTGACTTGTAGAGAAAACAAAAGAAATTAGAAAAAGAAAAGAATGYGTGGCATTTCTTTTGTATTTCCATGTAACACTCACATTCAGGTACTTTTGAGAACAATCATTTTGCAGTTACAGCTATATGGGAAAAGGAAACCAACACTAAAGAAAGAAGAAAAAAAAAMCACAGAAATAATGAACCACTGAATCCAGTTATTTCATAATTTACAGTATTTAGTTTTATTTATCTCATAACCCAAAGTTTATGAACATAGTATTTGTTTTCTGTTCAGAGTTGTAAAGGCTGTGAAATTGATAGTAGTAATAAGTTTCATATTATGAATGTTGTGGTGTCATATTTCATGAACCAATAACATTTGTCAACTSGATAATAATTGCAAAAGGAAAATGCATGAAGCATACTTGCAAAATAAGTTCATTGTCTTATCTTTTAAYATTACCGTTTATTTTGTTTTTAGAATTAGAAAATCGCTTTATATTTGCCTCCTTGCCATATGCTCATGGTGAGAAACAAAGCTCYAAACACTCAGTTGGAGAGATGTTTTGGTTGATCGTACAAGTAAGTATAGAGATAATATGTACAATATCTACATATTTATTGCATGGTTGGGATTGAAATAGCAGCTGGTAAAATTAATAGAAAATTTCTGGTCACAATTTAAACATGCCCATTTTAAGTTCCTATCACATCTGAAAATAATCTCAGCATTGATTCTAAACGAGGTGGGCAAAAAATTAAATTGCTTGCGTGGTAGATTTTTAAGTTATTATGGTTTATACTTGTCGTATCCTAATGACTACGACGTCAGGGGAGTCATCATTTATTAAGAAGAACCTTACYGGTTCAAATAATTTAGAATTTTCTCACATAATAGCCAGTGTTTTGAATTGAAAGGAGCTGGAAATAATCGTAAATGCTTCCCCTGATGTCACACTCATTAGCATATTACAAGTATCAACCTTTATAACTTCAAAACGTATCACTCATACAATATTTTTGTCTATTCTCACCTCTTGTGGAATCAATGCTGAGAATATTGTATGTGACATAGTGTAGGCACACTTAATGGACAGTTTTAAATTCTGACCAGAAGTTGTTGTATGTAAAGATCAAAAATGCAGCAAYAAGAAGATTTATGAAAGAAATTGACAATGTTTCCTTATAGTCATGACATTATTACCATTTTTGATTAACTAGTAAAGATAAGTCATGCAGAAATGGGGTATGCCCTGTATGCTAAGACTAATTTGGCTGGTTGTCATCAGACTGTCAGGCTGTGTTGGCAAAACCAAAAACGACCTTTTTACCTTGAACTTTGTTTAGTTATTGGACAGATTCTGATGATTCATTGTTTCTCCAATTCGTATGTTACAATGTATTTTTTCTTCTTTAGAATGATAGTGAAATGGATACATCTTCCATCATCCAAAACTGCAGCACTCCAA